TGACAATAAAATCCCAAATCCAAAATACTGTGACTAACATGACTTTTGTGTTTTTCTGCAGAATCTCCGTGTTGAGTGCAACGCTAGATGCTGACAATCTTAAAAAAAGTTAAATCTGTCGATCGTATTCGAGTTTTTGATTTTCAGACCTTTCCTAAAAAAATCAACGCTTCTTCTACAATTTCGTGGTGAAAAATTGGGGGGAGGGAACTATTTGTTGGGAATGGATTATCTGCTGTGTCAAGGTGAACATCGGCTACACTACGCTAAGTTTCGATGGTGATGCTGTTCGAGAACACAGTTTATGTTTCCTGCAAACTGGAAGCTATCCAGTCGTTATTGATAGTCTGGAACGCTAATAAATTCAACAAACAATGACCAGTTGGCTGCCGACTTACTGTAGCGTGACTGTATCAAGACAAAACATAACCTGATGGCCCACAAACCGCTTTCAGTAGCATCTTTTACTGGACGGAAAACAACTGAACGCGGCGGTTCTGAATCAACCGTCGAAGATGAATTGCAATCGTAGAAGAGAAAGTGATGATAGCGAATGAAATGTTAAGCGTATTAGAAACAAGAAATGAGACAGGGAAATAAGATTTCCTCAATTACGGCTGAAGGACAACGTATACGTAATCATTCCAATTTGAAACACCGAGCAGGTCTCAAGCCGTGATACGCGAGATCTCATGATACGTTATACTGACAGCAATTTTTCAGAACTTCTGAAATACTGTACTCTACAAAAGTTGGTTGTTCACTACTAGGTCTACACTTAATTTCGATTCATATGCGTTTAGGCTTTGCTTTCTAATTAAATAATACACGCATTGTATCATCCTGAACATTATTTAGCTTCAAAATTACAACAGAAAAACGTATAAAAAATTTCCATTCGCTTCGGATTTTAGATGGAATGATGATGGAATTAAAATAAACTGACCACATTAACTACCTAGAAATTCCTGCATAGTTGAAGTAACAGTCACTCATCGCCCTAATTATGGAGGCAGCAAGGACCTCTGAAACGTCGATAAACTTCTACCATACTAGACGGCGCAACAAACCAGAAGACAGCCATCTTCAGACTCACCGCCGTGAAAACCTCAAATCCTACATAATATTGCAACTTCTTGCCTTTTCTACAAACTATTACCAGTTGCTCGTGTCTTCCAATGAAAAGAATCAGACATTTCTGCGACGTAACCTTTCCTTGGCCTACGATTACCAGTTATTGCCAATGAACAAGCCTTAGTCAATGTGTAGAGTTCCCACTGAAGCAGTCGACCTCAATAAGAGTCCGGAGAAAGGAAGATGATATTCAGTCATGCGCACGCGTGCGCAAAGGAGGCCAAACTTTTACAGAAACTAATACTTCGAGCTAAACTTCCAAGAGGATTGATTTGTGGAAATCTGGTTTTGCTTCATAGCTGATACATGATCAGAATAGCCGTATTCTGGGATGTTGCTCCGTGTAGTGTGGTAGAACTCACTGCCACGATTATGGAGCTGGTAAGCACTTCTGAAACGTCGGTCAATTTCTACCAGACAACACGGCGCAAAATACCAGAAAACAGGGTAATATTTTCTTACTCACCGCCGGGAGAACATAAAATACCTGCTGGCTGTAGTTCGTTTCAAATGGCGAGCTTTTTGGTGTTAATTAAACCACTACTGAGTACGTACGGTTACCACAGTTATTATTCACGGTAGGAAGAATGCGTGACGTTGAATACTGTAACGTTCATCCTAACCTAATACATTCAATAAAAAGATTCGAAAGTTATTGCGGAAGAAAAATGAGCGGACCAACGCGTACAGACTTATTTTTCACGAAACAGCAGACACAACGTTTTTGTAAGACGAAATCCTCCAGTACATTTTTCACTTTCAGACAGATTTATGTTTAACACAAACGGCTTCAGGTGTAAAATATTGTCCAGTAGGGACAAACATACGCAAGAAGCTACCAGTGATCCAAATCATAATTTAAAAATATATGCGCCATACTTTCTCTAAAACTTGTACTGTTTCTTAGAAATAAACATACAATTTCGGTTTTATTTTAACGACTTTCCATTTCATTTTTTCTCTCCTGTCCTTTATTCACTCCTTTTTCTCTCATTTTTCTGTGATAAATTATTCTGCACGCATTTTACGGACATTCTGTCATATATGTGAAGGATTTCTCCCTCTCAGGCAAATCAAGGAAGTATGAAACAATATTGCATGAACAAGAAACAATAAATATTCAAGTAGGTTAATTTTATATTAAATCCTTGTTTATATTTTCCCTTCGCGCAGTAGACAGATTCCGCTTTGAGCGGTAGAACTACATCGATTTTTACTCTTCACTCACAAGTCAAAAATATTTTCAGCTGCAGGAAGGATTTCGTTTAATCTACGTTTCATTACAGCAATTTTTACTGTAAAAGTAGGAACTTATACAGTTTCCTATAGATACGATAAACCATGTAGCCTATGTCAGTTGCATACGACTGAAATGTAAAAAAAAAACAGTGTAATGATGTTCGTGTGAACGGCCACGATGTATTGAGAAACGAACAGGTGCATTGCAATTAATGGTCCAGAGAGATCCACACACAAAATGAGGCCAAACAGTAGCAGACAGGTTTACCACACAAACATATCGCGTTTAAATAATTAATTAATTAGCGTGCCTTGTGTGAGAAACAGTAAAGACTCTCGACTGCTCTGAAACACTAACAAATACCGGAATATTTTATGATAACACATTTCAGTGCTGCTAATTTACACAACTGGAATTACATATCGAAAGCGGTACTGGATAATGAGCTAAAGAACGCCAACGAGAGCAAAATCTATCGAGAAGAACCACAAATTGCATGTGGGAAGCCACCTTTTCGAATTTCCGACAGGAAGCCGAGTATCTTAACCGACATTTTGGCTGTCTTAATCAGGATAGTATTTTCAAATTGTTCACAAGCGAATAGAATATTTCTTGTAACTCGGCTTTTGGGTGTCAGTCGCGTTGAATGTTATTATTAACCAACGTTTCGGCAAATATTGCAGTTACAATCTTCAAGGTGACGACAGCAATTAAAATTCCTAATTTATACATTAATCCATACCCCAGTCTCATCCAAAGTAAACAAAAAATGTAGTTGGAACAGAACCTCTAAAAGTAATTTACCATTTGCATATATTCTCTAAGTCATCGTTCCGAAAACTTCTTTCATCGGCGGTACATCTTACGCTCTCAAGAACACATAATGGCAGACGATAAAATTTTGCCCCAAAAACGGTGTACAAAGTTATGCATGGCCATAAAAACGTATATACATATAAATCCTTGTCTTTTAAGAACGCAGGCACCCACAACGCTGACGTCAGTGGAGTCATTTTCAAGTGTTAAAGGTCAACTTCTGGTAAAAGCGCCAGAATAGTTTCGTGTATGATTACATTTCGTAACTTGTTTTATATTAGTGGCTACAGCTGGGTTCTAACCCTGGACCTATAAGACGTTCCGTATCAGTCTGGTGGAAAATAAAGACTTAGCGGCTACAGTGATTTTTCAATTTATTTATTGAAGTCAACTGAAGTAAGAATGTCTGTATAAATAGCCCCTTATTGCAGGCACTTTTAGTCACCCATTACCAAGCAAGTAAAAATATTTTTGCCAATTCACGCTTGCTTGAAGAGATGGAATGGCGCTGAAACTAACTCGCATGACTGCTGCATCCATTATTAACATTTCTTTGTAATGCAGCAGACATTTTCAGTCCATTTTTTATACACACGGCTTAGCTTTACAGGCTTGACTTTGAATTCATGAGAAAGTAATGATTGAAATTTACTAATACATTAGAACTCCAACTTCGAATTAAAATGATTTTAAGAATAAAATTTCATAACAACATAGAAAATAACAAATTTACCTGTCATTTTGAACTGGACACAGTTAATATTGTCGTCCAAGAACAATGAGTGTTACTAGTACAGAAAATAAGAAATTGCTGACCTTATAAATTCGCTTTTGTCAGGTTTTCTGTTCAGCAGAATATCCAGAAATATTCATTGCCACATTTTCGTACAAATGTTATCATTATTCTAAAACCCATTACTACTAATTACGTACATATTACTGACACTCCTTTCCAAAAGCATATAGGCTAAAATAATAAGAACTAACATAACAAATATTTAATTGAACTGAATACTAAATCAAACCATTGGCTCTTGGATCCAACAGATAGTGAAGATAAAAATAAACTTGAATGGGCAGATCAAATGGCTGTGGTGAGTTTCGGGATACATATCAAAAATAAATAAATAAATTGATTAGTACAATAACTCTCGGCTACTCGATGAACTCAGTTATTTATAACGGATCTCCGTATAAACCTTTTTTTCAGAAATTTTTCAATCCTTAAGAAAACGGTAAGGTATACTGCACACCGATGTTCACATATTTAGTAAATAACCCGGAGGTAAGACCTACATGGCTTCTATGTACGATACTCCAATGACCGCAAAGGTTCAGTGTTGGCAAAGAATCCCTTCTTTCTTATTAGAATGCACAGGCTGTTAAAAGGGGTCATTAAACATCCGGTCGAGGATCGCAAAGCGCTGTCTAGTTCCCTCTGATTAAAGGAGACGCCAGGGATCATTTCGGAAACTGAGACCGAACAGAACACGCCACTGTTCGCTGCCAGACAGCCGTTTGTTCATTGTAAATGCTGAGAAAGAAACGACACCTAGCTGATGCAAAACATGTGTGGAGTCCGAAAGCTGGCCTTGTCATATTCCGGTTGCTAGAAAACTGACTGAGTCAGCTTAAAAAATTGCAGCATTACAAAAAAAAATTTCGGAGCACCTAACGAGGTTTAATACGTATATATAGTACAAATACGAAAATAGCAACGAATATAAGGAAAAGATAAAGTTGTCCCTTGTCCTTAACTAAGCACAACATTATGAAGAGGTGTGGAGGTTTAGCTCCACTGATTATTTACCTCGCACTTGCTGCCTTGCCCCGAGGAAAGAACTCCAGCAACCACTGCGAACTCCGGAGCCAGTCTGGACATCGCAGTAAAATACTTCTCTGCTGAGAATCGAAGCCTAGTCACTGTAAACAGCAAAACAGACTTCCAATTTAATATAGCCTGTTACGTTAATTCTTATACGTATTAACAAAGAAAAGTTCACCAGTATTACGGATGTGCAAATGTTTTCCATCATCGTGGAAACTACATGGCGCATCATTCCAGAAGGAAAACAGGTCTGGGAAAGGCAAAAGGACCCCTGTCCTGAGTTACAATATGTACCACCCAAAGAATACAATCCACGACTGTAATTTTGAGACTAACGGGGTGCAAGTATCAAGATTACAGTCGTGGACTGTATCTCTGTTTATCGCAACAATATTAGGCGAAGAGTGGGCATATTGAAGCTCATAACCGTAACGCTTTCTTAATTCCTCTGCTGCTCTGTCTCTTTCAGGTCCATACTTTATCCTCAACGCTTTATTCCCAAACCAAGAGTCTAAAACGCATTTAGGTAAAATAAAAATGACAATCGTAAGTAAAATAAACAAAATTGGCCATTTTCTCTTTTGAGATGGGAGAGAAATATATGTTTGGCGAAATTGTCGGAGGAAATACAATAATTTCCTTGTATATACTAATAATATAACAGGGCCTTGTTGTCGGTGCTAAGGAAGAACTTTCTTAGTTCAATTCCGCTCGTAACGTAAAACTGCAGACTCAAAGGAGGTCACAATCTGCAGCCTGCAAAGACATACGCTTCGGAATGCGTGTTGCTTCTGTTTTCATGTGGCGCTGTGATGACAGGAAGCGTTCCACTTACTACTTCTGTGCTGGTTCGAGTATCGAATTCCGGAAATAGACTATCTTCATCTCAATGACTATAGCAGAAAATAGAAGCACCCATATTGGTTTCGAATTCGAAGACGTTTCCAGTGTCACAACCTTCGGAACCATATGCCGCAAGTCTTTTGTTCGCCAACCTGTTTCAGATTTTAAAGAGATGCTACGACCGCCCTGTCTCAGGTGTTTCTGCCGTTGGGGTGCAAATCTGATGGCACAGGAAGAGGGCGTAACCGCGCTGTTTTATAAAGACTGGGGTTCGTGTTTGTGTCTTTGTGTGGGTCCCAGCTGGAGGGTGTATTGCGCCCACGTGTGTTTTTAGCCTCCTCTGCACCTCTCAACTGTTTCATAAACTATAACATATCTGAAGATAAGTTTTACATTAGTTTGTTTCGGGAACACCATTTTCTGTTCTTCTATTTGTCTGCATTCGTGAAAGGAGGAATAAGCTAAGATAAAGTTTCGCACGTGGGACAGACTTAAGAAAACATAAAACTTGGGTCTTATTTGTGTAATTCATTTACCTTCACAGATAAAGAACTGGTGAAGTAACTAGGAAACCAATGTCACCAGTAATTCACTGACTAACGCTCTGGTAAAAACACTTACCCGAAGACTTCATAGTTATTTAGACAGCCAAGAACCTCCCTGCTATATCGAACCGGAAGTGTTGTCATTGTTTCAACAAAAATTGTTCCACTGGACATTAACATAGCCAGTTCAATCTGGTTCATATCTACACAACTTACTGGAAAGGTGTGTAAAAATCAGGACGTAAATCTTTAGAGCCACTCATTTAATATCAGTCTCACCTGTGCATGTTTTCACAAACAATACTGACCAACGAGTCATTGTTTATTTACTTATTTATTTATTATTTACCTACGCTATCAGCAGCTCAGAATAATAAACTGGAAAAGACACTGTATTATCCCGCCATTTGTCTGAAGAAACTGAGAAGAACCACGAAAAGTCACACTCAGAATAGCCTGTCTTCGGTCCTAAAGTATGAATTAGTGACTGCTAATTATTTTCTATCATGGTGGGTTCAGTACCAAAAACACACAAAATGACAAAACGTTGCAATGACATTTAAGCACATGTGGACTCTGTGTGACGTTGTAAATATACTTTAATGTCTTCGGCAACATGTCTTACTCTGTCCTCTCCACGCTGCCTCTGCCACCCCGTAATCAGTGCAGAAATCTTATAACTAGGCCTATATAAACACCTCTGAGTTTCCCAGCCCCTTACAGCAGTAGATATTCTTGAAAACTTAATTCAGAACTCTAAATCTATGGGCAGCAAAGTAAAGCCAAGGTACTTTTGCCGGGGACCGGATGAGGCTCGCGAGCCGCGAGTTGTACATGCCTGCTGTAGTTAATCTTTGCATAGCTATAATGGAGACTGGCCTTGCAATGTTGAATCTGATCCACTCGTCGAGGAAGGTGAGGGGAGGGGGGGGGAGCTCTGAATGCAACCCCTTCTGTAAGAAAGGCTGAACGACAAATGAAAGCTCAGATTAGAAGAATCAAACTTCTAAAAGAGATTTCTAAAGAAATCGAGCCCCCAAAGGAGAAAGAAATCCTTCTATTGAAGACAAGGTTCATCATAGAATTAGATCTTGGGATTTTCGCGTCCATTTTTATAATGGAACACAAAGAGACGTTCTCTCCCATTCAGAGCTAAGCTAGTGTGGCGGAGTGAATGTAAGTTATTTGGGAAGAAAAGTGCAAAATTCCATACGTGACACTGTTGATGCAAATGCAAACAGCCCGTAACCCGTGGCTCGTAATTTCGATAGTAACAACGTTTGACTTGGTGCACGAGCAAACACGTCACAACGGCGGAGGAACTGACTTGAAACACGGGCCACACTTTCTGAGAATAAAATGTTTAGGCGCACAAGGGCCTTTTGGGAAAAAACGCTCATGCTGAATAGTGGGGTGAGATGTACTAAGACATACTTTCCATGTCAGTTGCAAACATAACGTTAATTATCGGCCCACAATTAGAGCACGCCGTTACAAACCAGAATAACCAATTCACAGCCTTGAGAATCTCAAATCTCATTCTTCAGTAGTCTAGCCGGTTTGCACCAAACGAGGCCTTCTAACTTATATTTCCTCTTTGTCTAAAATGGTGGGCTTTAACATACCAACATGATACAGCCTGAGGAAACCGTCTAGCAGAGAGTGTTTCATGCCTTAAGGACGGAGTACAAGGCCCCAGCGGATGGGAACAGAACAGTACTGCTATTCATTCAGTTCGAATGGACTCAACTGGAGAGACTTTTCTTCTGGACGCTAAATGCAGTTGTAAGGGACTCAACTCGCGTCCCTGCTAACAGTATAACAGTATAAATCGGAGCATAAACCGATTTAAGAAGTTCTTCCAAAAAGAAAATCATCATTATTTGCTATAGTAAGAAAAATTCAACTTTCTCAGTCACAGTGAAACATTAAGTTCCAGTAAGATATTATGGCGCCAGCGTTCCATTAATTCCTTCCTACCATCTACCGAGTGAAGCTAATACAAGGAACATGCCATTACGTATTACATCTGTTTCTTTGCGTAAATTTCGTTAGTAGGTAGGCTGCACATTTTGACTAATTCTGTACTTTGAAGTTCAGATATACCTAGAAATGTCTTAAGAAAATGGTTCCCACACAATCTAAGGTGGCATAACTCATAACCCAACATATAAAATTTTATAAGCCTGGTTACAATGATTTATTAGGAACTGAATAAAATAGTATACATACATGTTTAGAGTTTCCTATTATAATATAATCAAATAAAAGTTGCTTAATCCCAAATAAATTTAAGGGTCCTGCCATAAGTTGTGCTGATTGTATTCCTGACTGTATTTATATGAACAGGGAATTACAATTTAAGAAAGTACAGCTCCCAAGTTTCATCTCAGCTTTAATAAGGTAAGAAATGGTGAATTTGGATAATTTCAGAAAAAAAATACATGCGAAAACTTTAGAAAATCTATCAGAAATTGTAGGCTCAGTGTAAACACTAGTTGAATAACAACAAAGCTCTGAAATAAATAACGAAACACTGTCAGTAACAATCAAATATATATTATATATTATTACTTTTACTTCTGAGTCATGCATGGGATTGCAAAGAAAAATGATAAACACAGAAATAAAAATAAATTACATAAAATACACAGACAGAAAGATATATTAGACGCACGAAAGGAAAACAACACAATACTACGAAAAAATAAGAACAGTTACAACGAAGATAAATAAAGTAAGAGAAAGTTTGCAGTAACTGTTTACATTTCTTACAGTTTCTTCCCGTAAAGCCAACATCATGGACAGACGACGGCACATGACTCCTTTTGCAGAAAACGAGGCCGAGGAGTTTGCAGAAGACTAGCGAGATACGAATGCCTGTTACTCCGAAGCAAAACGTTTCACATTTCTAAGTATCAGCATCACCGCAACATCACTACGCTACGTTCATAACGAAACAGAAGAAGGCTTTATCTCGCAACAAGAGAACAGTAACCAGCGTTTGTTAGCGACTAGATTAAAACCCGTTAATCTCTTACAGAGAGAATCCTTCTGTAGCATTACAACAAAGTATTACTTTATTTTCCGAAAGAAAGGCAAATATTACAACAACAAAAAACTTGCAGAAAATCTTCTTAGAAATCTTTCATCCAGTTGTAACGAGATGTTTGAAGAAACGATTTCTGTTCAAAATGCAATGACTAAGGGACACTTTGTTCAACACGGACTCCTTAATTCTTCTTTGTGCAGACATTTCAAAGGGTTCCTCTCTTGTGGCTTCCAAATAAAAAAACCTGCAGATGGCAAAGTAAATCTGTAACATTTTCAAAACGGGTCTCAAAGGCCTGGCTTGTCGTTGAAATGTGCCAACTGTCGGTAAGCCTACAGTGGTCTGAGCCATATGCTCATTGGGAATCATGCGAAGTGTTGATAAACCGCATTCGGACCGAGTTAAGCGTGTAATGAAACTGCACTACCTTTCGTCCGGACGAGTTCAATTCAAGGCCCTACTTTCAACACTTTCATAAAAGTGCATACCATTTATCAAGAAATATAAAATGTGCAGGGGTTACAGCCCGCACGGAAGAAACAAGATAATCACAAAGAATTTTCAAAAGAAACCTCGCAGGGAAGATACCAACTGAAAAACCAAGGATTTAATGGAAAATAATATAAAAATGGTTCTTAAAGAAATGGGTTGTGAG